TATCAAGGTTGTGGACCCTATAGAGGTCACAATTTTTATCCGATTTTGTTGAAAATTGAAATGTAAGTTTATAACCCAAAGATCTCGGTTCCTTTCGATATTCGTGCATATCGGACTGTAACTTCCTGAATTATGGCCCCTGATTGTACGAAAAATCACGTTTTTAGCTTGTGGACCCTATCCAATTTAAAAAAACGTATTATTATATCACCGTTTCACCCTAAAGGAAGGTTGAGTTCGAATTTCGTGAAAATCGGCCCAAAATTGACAGACAAAATGGCCGCCGTTCGTTCTTAAATAGCATAAAAATATGGTATATCAAGGTTGTGGACCCTATAGAGGTCACAATTTTTATCAGATTTTTTTGAAACTTGAAATGTAGGTTTATAACCCAAAGATCTTGGTTCCTTTCGATCTTCGCGCATATCGGACAGTAACTTCCTGAATTATGGCCCCTGATTGTACGAAAAATCGCGTTTTTAGCTTGTGGACCCTATAGAGGTCATAATTTTTATCCGATTTAATAAAACGTATTATTATATCACCGTTACACCCTAAGGAAAGTTGAGTTCGAATTCCGTGAAAATCGGCCCAAAATTGACAGACAAAATGACCGCTGTTCGTTCTCAAATAGCGTAAAAATATGGTATATCAAGGTTGTGGACCCTATAGAGGTCACAATTTTTATCCGATTTTGTTAAAACTTGAAATATAAGTTTATAACCCAAAGATCTCAGTTCCTTTCGATATTTGCGCATATTGGACCGTAACTTCCTGAATTATGGCCCCTGATTGTACGGAAAATCGCGTTTTTAGCTTGTGGACCCTATAGAGGTCATAATTTTTATCCGATTTAAAAAATCGTATTATTATATCACCATTACACCCTAAGGACGGCTGAGTTCGAATTTCGTGAAATTCAGCCCAAAACTGACAGACAAAATGGCCGCCCTTCGTTCTCAAATAGCGTAAAAAATATGGTATATCAAGGTTGTGGACCCTATAGAGGTCACAATTTTTATCCGATTTTGTTAAAACTTGAAATATAAGTTTATAACCCAAAGATCTCAGTTCCTTTCGATATTTGCGCATATTGGACCGTAACTTCCTGAATTATGGCCCCTGATTGTACGGAAAATCGCGTTTTTAGCTTGTGGGCCCTATAGAGGTCATAATTTTTATCCGATTTAAAAAATCGTATTATTATATCACCGTTTCACCCTAAGGACGGCTGAGTTCGAATTTCGTGAAATTTAGCCCAAAACTGACAGACAAAATGGCCGCCCTTCGTTCTCAAATAGCGTAAAAAATATGGTATATCAAGGTTGTGGACCCTATAGAGGTCACAATTTTTATCCGATTTTGTTGAAACTTGAAATGTATGTTTATAACCTAAAGATCTCGCTTCCTTTCGATATTTGCGCATATCGGACCGTAACTTTCTGAATTATGGCCCCTGATTGTACGAAAAATCACGTTTTTAGCTTGTGGACCCAAGAGAGGTCATAATTTTTATCCGATTTAAAGAAAAACCAACATATTATTATATCACCGTTACACCCTAAGGACGACTGAGTTCGAATTTCGTGAAAATCGGCCCAAAATTGGCAGACAAAATGGCCGCCGTTCGTTCTCAAATAGCGTAAGAATATGGTATATCAAGGTTGTGGACCATATAGAGGTCACAATTTTTATCCGATTTTGGTGAAACTTGAAATGTAAGTTTATAACACAAAGATCTCAGTTCCTTTCGATATTTGCGCATATCGAATTATAATTTCCTGAATTATGGCCCTTGATTGTAGGAAAAATCACTTTCTTGTTAGCTTGTTCTCTATCCATCTCTCGAAAATGTGGGCGTATCCTGCCTGGCAGCCGCTGGTTGAACCTTGTGAACACTCTAATGACTAAAAGTTATCATACGATCTGTATTAAATTTACATGCATAAATTAAATTAATAAAATGAAGAGGCCTATAGAATTTCAGCAATTTCTGTTTATAACATCTAGAGTTATGGCCCTTGTTTTACTTTGTTGATCTTGTGAACACTCTAACGACTAAAGTTATCATCCGATCTGTATTAAATTAAATAAATAAAATGAAGAAGCCTTTAGAATTTCAGCAATTTCTTTTTATAACATCTAGAGTTATGGCCCTTTTTTCACTTTGTTGAATCTTGTGAACACTCTAACGACTAAAGTTATCATCCGATCTGTATTAAATTGAATTAATAAAATGAAAAAGCCTTAAGAATTTCAGCAATTTCTGTTTATAACATCTAGAGTTATGGCCCTTGTTTCACTTTGTTGAACCTTGTGAACACTCTTAACGACTAAAGTTATCATCCAATCTGTATTAAATTTACATACATAAATTAAATTAATAAAATGAAGAAGCCTTTAGAATTTCAGCAATTTCTGTTTATAACATCTAGAGTTATGGCCCTTGTTTCACTTTGTTGAACCTTGTTAACACTAACTACAAAAGTTATTGTCTGATCTATACTAAATTTATCTGCATTAGTAAAACGAAGCCTATTGAATTTAATATCTTCTAGAGTTATGGCCTGTATTTCACATTGTTGAACCTTATGAACTCTCTTATTGACAAAAGTTATCATCTGAACTGTATGAAATTTATATCACTAAATCAAAGAAGCCCATTGAATTTCAGCAATTTCTGTCGATTAGTTCTCGAATTTAAGCCCTTTTGTCACTTTGTTGAACCATGTGAACGCACTATAACAAAACAACTAAAGTTGTGATCCAATGTGTATTAAATTTAAATGCATTATTGAGATTAGTAAAACAAAAAAGCCTATAGAATTTAATCAATTTCTGTTAATAACTTCTACAGTTATGACCCTTGTGAACATTCAACCCATTCGATCTGTATGAAATTGATATCAGTGTCTTGTAAATGCTTGTATTACCTACAAAAGCCTAAATATGTGACAACCCTTGTCGACTGCTCGGACGATTTAGCTGCTGTGGGCGTATGATGCTTTACCTGGCAGTCTATCTTTTAGAAAGTAATTTTAGCCATGTGTGCCAATGTGATGCTTCTTCCGGCATAATGACGAGAATCACAGAGCAATTGGGTTACAGCACACTTGAAACGACAAGGCCTGATGAAACTTTATGTAAACTATTAAGCATCAGTGGAATATGGTTTCCTTTGTTTTAGAAGGATAATGTTGGTGTCCCAACAATTAAAATTACATTTGGAATGTGTTTAACCAGCTCTATACCATATCAAATTGGAGATCAACATTGTCCTTTAATACATGTATTTATGTTGAATATTGTAATATGAATTGTTATCTGTATTGTTGTCATTGTAAATCGATATAAGTATAGAGCACATAAAATGAACAAATAAAAGTGTTATGATGTGCTTGTCCCGTTGTAGTAAGGTACATTTTATGTGCTCTTTAAGTTTGTATTAAGGTATAAAGCAATGACAAGCTTTCTCTGGGAGCATGGTTATCTAAAATCATGTATACTTTCTAACATATTAGTGACATACATGTAACACCTATCAATGATGACAGAAATTTCAATTAATATGAAATATATCCCTTGAATAATAGTTAAAAATACTGGTACCATAGGTACTCTTTTCCTTGATATCCGTATAAATAATGATGAATTTAAGGTTGGAATTTTCTATTGAACTGATCAATTCTCCAAATACATGTACACCTCTCTTAAAAGTAATGCATTTTCAACTATTTGTCTAGATTAAGGTCTATTTTGGTTTTTATACGCCCACATTTTCATATGGACGTATATATTGTCATTGCCCCTGTACTCTACTTGAAATGCAAGTTTATAACCCAAAGATCTTGTTCCTTTCAATATTCGCGCATATCGGATCGTAACTTCCTGAATTATGGCCCCTGATTGTACCAAAAACCATGTTTTAAGCTTGAGTTCCCTCTAGAGGTCACAATTATTATCCGATTAAAAAAAAATATTCAAATATATCACCGTTACACCGTAAAGTTGGTGGAGTTTGAATTTCGTGAAAATCGGACAGAATGGCCACCAATTGTGTAAACATATGGTATATCAAGGTTGTGGACCCTCTAGAGGCCACAATTTTGATCCGATTTTGATGAAACTTGAAATACATATTTATAACCCAAAGATCTTGGTTCCTTTCGATATTCATGTATATGGGATCGTAACTTCCGGAATTATAATAATAATTATATGTCCATTTATAAAGCGCTATATCCACAAAACGTGCTCATGACCCTTGATTGTACGAAAAAACAGCGTTTTTAGCTTGTGGTCCCTCTGGAGGTCACAATATTTATCTGATTGAAAAGAATGTTGAATATATAACCGTTACACCCTAATGATGGCTGAGTTTGAATTTCATGAAAATGGGACCAGAACGGGCTGCCCCTTGTATGCAGATAGTGTAAATGTATGGTATTATCAAGGTTGTGGACCCTCTAGTCATCACAATTTTGATCTGATTTTGATGAAACTTGAAATATATCTCTATAACCCAAAGATCTTGGTTCTTTTCAATATTCATGCATATTGGATCGTAACTTCCTGAATTATGACCCTTGATTGTACAAAAAATCACTTTTTTTTTTTAGCTTGTTCTCTATCCATCTGTTGTAAAATGTGGGTGTATCTTGCTTGGCAGACTCTGTTTTTTTTTTTTCAATTCACTGCCTTTAACAGGCATTTCTAAACTACCTGTTCTTAAACATTAAAATGTGATTGAATATTGTCATCATGCCTATCCAATAGTACAATTGGGTTTAAGTTTGCACAGTGTTTATATTGATAACCTGAAGTTAAAGTTATGAGATTAATATGTATTTAGACATTTTAAAGTGAACTGAAAACACTAAACGATACTGTTGCATGGCCTGATGAATAAACTATTATTCTAAACAATGGTTATGAAATCTGTTTAATTTATGAATAATAGTTTCCTGGAGTTCTCGTTTAAAGATTGATAATTTTTGTAGTTATAAAGAATCATCAGAAGAACAGACAGATTCTGATGATATTGTCGAAGCAGCCGCACCAACACAGGAAGAAGTTGAACAAGAAAGTCGTGAAACAATAGAAAAAGTTTATGAACAGAGAAAGGGTAGAATAGGAGGTAAAAAATTAAAAATGAAACTTACTTTCTGAAAAGTTATTGAAGATTGAGAAGTTGTAGTTCAAATTCTGTCTTTGTTTCTAGAACAATTCTTTAAAGATACATTATGCAATAGCTAAATTGCCTATTACAGGTCTTTCTTTAGGCCTGAAATGTTTTCTAAAGTATTAATTAGACATTAATTAACTGATCCAGGCCTTAATCAACTCTCGATAGCATCAGATTTCTCTGATATTAAATAGATTAGAATGGTTCAGCGATACTTTGATTTAATCAAATATGGAGGACCGAGACTTAGCTTCGATCAACCAGTACGGTGGTTGAAATTATTGCACACGTCTGTCAAACCTTCAAAGGCTAATATCTTCGCTTGCAATAGAGTAATTTGAATGAAATTTTCAAATTATTCATTTTACATCATCTACTTTCGAACTATTATAGCAGGAATGGCTAGTTCTTTATCTAAATCTTACATAATGTATCTTTAAGTATACAGTATTCTATTTTTGTTTCTAAAACAAATAACTTGGATTTTACGATAAATGTACATTAACCATATAACAGACAGAAAGAACAGATGAGTAGGACATTAAACCCCATTTCTTTTATTTACTCTTATTTTCTTTATAATAATACCTCCACTTCTTTACAGCAACTGGAAGTAAAACTGCCGCATATAATGTGGAAATTAGTGGCGATCCTAATGAAGGCTTTGATCCAGAGAAAGAGGAATATGAATTGCAATATTCAATAAAATGGAAAAATTGGTCCAACATTCATAATACATGGGAGACCGAGGCTTCTTTAAAAGAACAAAAGGTAAATGGATTAAAAAAGTTAGAGAATTTAAAGAAAAGAGAAGAGGAACTGGCAGAATGGTGAGTACTTCCGGATGATTTTATGTGTCGTCTTACCTTTCATTTAATTGATAATCTAACCTATTAACGAAATATGTTACTCAAGGCTGATAAATCTTTGATAGATTTTTTTAAAAAATAAGCATGAATTGTGTTAATCTGTTTGTCATTTGCTAATTCTCATGCCTTTGAAAAAAAGATATGTTCTAATTATGTATTATAACTTTTTTGTAACAAAGACTTGTGCTACAATAAATCTGAATCCTTGAATTACTTCCTATTTTCAGGGCAGAATTGGCAACACCAGAAGACAGAGAATATTTCTGTTGTCAGCAAGAAATGATGTCTGATCTGGCCAAGAACTATTTGAAGGTAGAAAGAATTATTGGTATGTTCATGTCTTATCAGTAATGTAAAAGTTTTGATAATAAAATAATTGTAATACTTTCATATAAGTTTATTACATTGGGACAATATAAAGAAAAATCATTGGAAATTTTAATAATACATCATATCTTTGTAAAAACTGAACGGAATTGAACCATTTTTGGTTTGGTACTCCTTTTAAAGATTTTGTAGTTTGGCTAATGAGGATCAGAGACTTTCATCCTTTATTTCTCCAACCCCACAAATTAAGAAAATGCAATGAAATCAACAATTTTATTTCTGACCTGAATTCAAAGATTTCATTTTGAATAAACTATTGTTCTAAAACCTTAAAAATACGAATTGATTTTTGTTTTAGCTGTGTCTAAAGAGAAATCTACAAGTGAACAGAATGGTTTCCCCGATTATTTATGTAAATGGGCTGCTCTCCCGTATGCTGATTGTACGTGGGAAGATGGTGAACTTATATCTCGACATTATCAGTCATTCATTGATGCCTATTACGCTAGAACTAAATCTCAAAGAATACCCACTAAGTTATGTAAGGTATGTAAAAGATTTTGATCCCAAGTCATTCATTAATTCATTAATTTATGATATATTCAAAATTAAACTGTACAAATCACATGTGCTTGTAAAATGGAAAATCTTTTAAAAAATAGCATTAAGCTGTGACTTATTCCTGAAAAACACAACACAATCATATCATAACTTCCTTTATTTATGGTTCCTGATTGTACGTAAAATAGCGTTTTAACTTGTGGTCCTTTTAGAGGTCACAATTTTTATCCGATTGAAAAAATATTTGAATATATCACTGTTACACCCTAATGATGGCCGAGTTCGAATTTCATGAAAATGGGACCAAAACTGCCGGACAAAATGGCCGCTCCTCGTATGCAAATAGTGTAAATATATGGAATGTCAAGGTTGTGGACCCTCCAGAAGTCAAAATTTTGATCCGATATGATTATAACCTGAAGATCTTGGTTCCTGTCAATATACGCGCATATCGGATCATGACTTCCTGAATTATGGCCCCGGATTGTATGAAAAATCTACAGATCACAATTATTATCCGATTTTAAAAAAAAACAATGTTCGAATATATCACCGTTACACCGTAATGTTGCTTGTTCGAATTTTGTGAAAATCGGACGAAAACTTCCTGACAAAATAGTCACCCCTCGTATGCAAATAGTGCAAGGCTGCGGTTAATTAATTGTCAGTTTTTCATGACCTGAGTTTGTGAAATATACATGCTACATGTGGTAATGATTAATTATTGATGAAATTTAATTTTTATACGGCCACATGAAAATCGGACCAAAACTGCCGAACAAAATGGTATATCAATTTATCAAGGTTGTGGATCCTCTTAGAGGCCACAATTTTTATCCGATTTTGATGAAACTTTTAATTTATGTTGATAATTGCGCATATCCGAACGTAATTGCCTGGGTTATGGGCCCTGATTGTTCGAAAAATCGCATTTTTAGCTTGTGGATTCTCTAGAGGTCACAATTTTTTATTTGATTTTAAAAAATGTTTAAATATATCACCATTCCACCATAATGAGGGTTGAATTCAACTTTTGAGAAAATCAAAGTGAAACTTGCCGACAAATTGGCCGCGTTTTGTACGCAGATTGTGTAAAAGTATGTAATATGAAGGTTGTGGACCCTCTAGAGGTCACAATTTTTATCTGATTTTGATGAAACTTAAAATATATCTTTACATCCCAAAGATCTCAGTCCCTTTAGATATTTTTGCATTTCAGATCAGAACTTTCTAGATTATGGCCCCTGATTGTTGTGGACCCTCTTAGAGGCCACAATTTTTATTTGATTTTGATGAAACTTTAAATTTATGTTGATAATTGCGCATATCGGAACGTAATTGCCTGGATTATGAGCCCTGATTGTTCGAAAAATCACAATTTTTATCTGATTTTGATGAAACTTAAAATATATCTTTACATCCCAAAGATCTCAGTCCTTTCGATATTTTTGCATTTCAGATCAGAACTTTTTAGATTATGGCCCCTGATTGTACAAAATTGCTTTTGTTTTTAGCTTGTTCTCTATCCATGTCTTGCAGAATATGGGCATATCTTGCCTGCCAACCGCTGGTTTATTTTTAAAATTTTAAAAAAAAGGGAAAATCATGTAAGGCTATTTATTAATATCCTGAACTAAAAATCAAATTCGGTTGGCCTAAATATGTACATGTTAGCTACTGTTTGTCAAATATACACTATGTCAAATATCCACCATGTGTGTGACCTCAACTTGTTTGGTACCCAGTTGGATGAAAGTCAAGTATGAATATTTTTTGAAACTTGTGTTTTGCTATAATCCTACAGTTTCTTCATTAGTACATGTATCAATGAAACCTACAGAGTTAGGCCGTGTTAAATTAATTCTACGTTTCGGGTCAACCGCGGTAGTTTGTGTTGTGTTTTGATTTCGGCAGCTCTGGCGCGTACCTTCCCATACAGTACATTCTTCACTATCGAACACACGCCTCTCTATTTTAGGCGACATACGCACATTTTTAATTTACACGCATAAATATTGGTTTAAAAAAATAAAATAATATCGTAATTTGTATACAGAAAGATTTGAAAACAAATCACGGTCATAAATTTAAAACGGTATCACATTACTCCATGTGTCAGCACGCAAACTTTCGCTGCCATGTTGTCCTTGGTTACATGTGTACATAGACTTGTTTGTCCTGACACTCGCTGACTTCTAATAACAGTTTAAATTAACAATCCATTAAATATGGATGGCAGCGCCACTGAACTGCAATGATAATATCAATAGACCAGTTTGAGTGCCTCCAGGCACTAGGAGTCTGACCTTCTATCCGTATATATATATGCATACTCCATGTCCAACCAATCTTTTTTTATTATTTATTGTCTGGTTGGACATGGTGTATGCATATATATATATATATATATATATATATACGGATAGGTCAGACTCCTGTGCTCCAGAGCGGCTTTAAAATGCAGTTCTAGTACAACATAGAATGTGACATCCACACCTGATGGATTATCTAGTAATAATAATAGAAAATCTTCCTGGAAATCAGAAAAACAATCCGGTAGATGGCTCTATAATATTTGGTATATTCAGCTATATTCTGAGTTTGTGTTGTGTTGAAAAAATGTGTGTTGTGTTAAAAATTGGGAGGTGTGTTGTGTTGACCTCCCTCCCTCATTGAATTCTGGAGACTCTAAAACCGGAAACACAGAATTAATTTAACATGGCCTTACTTATCTTGTCAAATGGCTGTTTCCCGGATTTGATTTGGGATTCTTATTGAAATGAAGTAATTTCTAAAATCTTAATCGGCATGTGAAATGATTAAAATAAATGGTTCATTTATTTCCAGGTTTTAAAAAGCCGTCCAAAGTTTGTAACATTAAAAAATCAACCGGAATATCTTGGTGGATATGATAAATTAACGTTAAGAGATTACCAATTAGAGGGTGTAAACTGGATGTTACATGCCTGGACAAAGTAAGTCGATGATTTGTATCACCACATAAGTCCTCAAAATCTTGAGAAAATTAACAAAAAAAAATGTTAACAAAACAACAAGAATGGCAGCAGACGGTACTTCTTTTTTTTAGTGAAATGCCAGCTACCGAACATGGGAGTTAACTCTATTAAAACGCCAGGAAATAAATACTATTCTTAAAGCCGGAATATTCCTGGAATAATCCAGGTAACACGGGACAAATCGTTGGGTTGGAGCAAGAATGTCGTAAGTGACAAAATTTGCGATTTCCATGTTACGATATATTATTGATAGTTGATGACCAACTTTTCAGATGAGCATGGTTTTGCCCCTTATGTTGTCATGGAAACCGGAAATCTTGGCTGTGCGAAATTGTCGTAAGTGAAAAGTTGACCAAATTCTTGGAGCAAAAATGTCGTAAGTGACATTTTTCATTACCAGATTGTTATAAGCTGAATTTGATTTCATGATAGAACATCAATGTCACATAGGCTATGAGGTCATCACCAGTATGATGTCATAATCATTATAATATTAATATTAATATGTATTTGGTCGAGTTTATTTATCTTTTATTTATTAGGTCAATGTGAGTTTTTGGTTACTTCCTGCACTTACGACAATTTTGCACCAAATATCTAGCCCGAAATTTGTTAATAGATTTAATCTTGTTCATATTTCCCCAAAATATGATATTATAATAGTTATATTAATTCTTAATAATAAAATATATTTGGTCGAGTCTATTTATCTTTTATTTATTGGGTCAATGTGCGTTTTTGGTTACTTCCTGCACTTACGACAATTTTGCACCAAACATCTAGGCCGGAATTTGTTAATAGATTTTATCTTGTTCATATTTCCCCAAAATATGATATTATAATAGTTATATTAATTCTTAATAATAAAATATATTTGGCCGAGTCTATTTATCTTTTATTTATTGAGTCCAATGTGAGTTTTTGGTTACTTCCAGCACTTACGACAATTTTGCACCAAACATCTAGGCCGAAATTTGTTGGAGCAAAAATGTTGTAAGTGAATTTTGGCTACGAGCCAAAAATTTATACAAGGCCCTGACAACACTCAATCACTTGAAATGTATTATATATCAGAGATATGAATCTCATTAGTAAATAAATAATGACACGGAATCATCATTTTTATTTAAATCTTTAAATGCAATTTTCTCCATTTTTTGAAAATGCCACTTACAACATTCTTGCTCCAAGCCAACGAAATAATATATTTTTTTCTGTCCATTGAAGTGTGGTCGTATATTGTCATCACCTCAGTCACTGTGGCGTCTGCACTTGATTTCGGGGCAAAATTTAAAATCCAATTAACTTAAAATTGATACAGTGTTTAAGGCCATGGGACAAAGAGATCTATTGATATTCTTTGATTACCAATAATTACTTCCAGAGTTATGTCCCTTGATATTGTTTTGTATACTAAATGTTAAGATAGAGCAGAACTAGAAGCCAGACACATTCTAATTATTTCTGATAATTACTTAATGGGTTGTTACTCATGCTCAGATTTTAGTGTTGTAAGTGTTTTCATTACTGACAAAAGACAAAAAATATGTGACAACCTTGTTGACTGCCCGGACCACTTAGCTGCTGTGGGCGTATGTTTCTTTGCCTGACAACCTATCTTTAATCATATTGTTTGTATTTTCAGGGAGAACTGTGTAATATTAGCTGATGAGATGGGTTTAGGTAAAACTATACAGATAATTAGTTTCCTCTCCGTTCTCTTCAACCAGTATCAGTTGTATGGTCCATTTCTATTGGTTGTACCTCTCTCAACTATTGTTGCCTGGCAACGCGAGTTTGAGAATTGGGCTCCAGAGATGAACGTTATTGTTTATATTGGTGATATATCTAGTCGAAACTTTGTAAGTAGTAATTTTCTGTGATAGATTATTTCTGTTTTGTAAGGTCAATTTAAAAAGCAGTTTGCATTTTTTCGGAAATGATAAAATTTCTCATGGCTTTATCCACCGCTTATATGTACTTGAGTGAGTGAGAGACCCAGAGAAAGCCCACAAGGTTGGACAGGCAACCCTACTCCGTGTCAGGTACAACTTCGAAATCGAAACCACCTATTCAGGCATCTAACACCCCCCCCCCCCCCAATGTACTCGGGTTGATTATATGTATCATTCCCAGACAAATTATTTTCTTCATCACCCTATATTGCTCTTATGTGGTTGGATGGCCGAATGGTTAGCATGTGCGCGCTGTATCATAAGGCCTGTCATTGAGTCAACTGGCGTGGTTTCAAATCCCCCGGTTGTACGTGACAAGGAGTAGGGTCACCTGTCCAGCCTCATGGGTTTTCTCCGGATCCTCCGGTTTACTCCCACTGCTAAAGACCCCTACGCACAAGCGAATTATTGAAATAAAATTAACCATATGTTAGTCCCAAAATGACCTAGTTTGTGGGAGTGGACCTTAAATCCCATCTCTCTCTCTCTCTCTCTCTCTCACTCTCTTTTTGAGACTCCTCCCCGATCGCCCTTTAAATTGTAGGTGTATATTTCAGTGCCTTGCAAGTATTTTTTTTTAATAAGAGAAATTAACTTTTTTATGCTATAGATTCGTGATCATGAATGGTGTCATCCAGGCAATAAACGATTAAAGTTTAATGTTATTGTTACAACCTATGAAATATTGTTAAAGGATAAGGTAAATCTATCAGTTTTATGTTAAGCTTGATCCTGGCCTTTTTGTGTGAACTTGGATCTTGGATTGTATCTACAAATAAAGTGTCGAAAATGACTTTTTATACGCCCACATGGACGTATATTGCCGTCGCCCCCGTTCGGCCGTCCGTCATCCACAATTGATATATGTGGTTTACATTAGTGAGATGAAGAAGTCTTATTTAAATTCAATAATTTCTATTCATTACTTCTAGAGTTATGGCCCTTGTTTCACTTTTGTGAGCCTTGTGAACGCTATTACGCCAAAAGTTATCATTCGATCTTTGTGAAATTTATATGCATTATTTAAATAAGTGAAACAAAGTAGCCTATTGAATTTCAGCGATTTCCGTTTATTAGGCCTAGAGTTATGGGCCTTGTTTCACTTCATTGAGCCTTGTGAACGCTCTAACGCCAAAAGTTATCACCCAATCTTTGTGAAATTTATATGCATGATTTAAATTAGTGAATTTCAACAATTTCCGTCAATTACTTCTGGAGTTGTTGCACCTTGGGAACGCTCTAACATCAAAATTTATCTGCCGATCTGTATGAAATTTACATGCGTCATTTAAACATACATTATGCAAGAGCTAAATCTTTTTATTGCAAGTCTTTATTTAGGCTTCAGATTAATGAAAGTTATCATCTGATATGTATGAAATTTATATGCATTATTTAAATTTGTGAAATGGAGGTCTATTGAATTTCAGCAATTTCCGTCAATAATTTCTAGAGTTATGGCCCTTGTTTCACTTTGTGAACCTTGTGAACGTTTGAATGACAAAAGTGATCATCTGATCTGTATGAAATTTATATGCATTATTTAAATTAGTAAAACGAAAAAGCCTGTCAAATTTCAACAATTTCTGTAGACTACTTCCAGAGTTGAGGCCCTTGTTTCAGTTTGTAGAACCTTGTGAACCCTCAAATGACAAAAATTATAATCTGATCTGTATGAAACTGTCTTGTAAAGGCCCCCATTTCCCTACAAAGGAATAAATATGCAACAACTCTTGTCGACCACTCGGATGAATTAGCTGCTGTGGGCGTATGTTTCGTTGCCTGGCAACCTATCTTTTTGGTTAAATTACAATAAATGTTAACAGCATGACACAAAGAGAATGCTTTAAATGTAGAATTTAGAAATGAAACTGTTTTTTTTTTATTATTATTATTATTTTTTAACCAAACGATTCACTTTTATTTTTTGCTTTCAGTCATTTTTAGGAAGTGTAAGTTGGGCATTTCTTGGTGTGGATGAAGCTCATCGTTTAAAAAATGACGACTCGTTATTGTATAAAACATTAAAAGACTTCAATACTAATCATCGCATTCTCATTACGGGCACTCCATTACAAAATTCACTTAAAGAACTCTGGTCACTACTTCATTTCATCATGCCACAAAGGTAGGTTTCAAAATTAAATTGTTGCTTTTATGTGTTGAATTGTGTTATGGGATGACCACCTGTTGGTTTGGGTTTTTTTGTATAGGCACAATACTAAAACAAATCTTAAAATTTCCGAACAATAGTTTAATTGTATAGATTTTGTCCTGTCACTATTTTGAATAACACTTCAGCATCATCCAATTCAATGCCTTATTTTGACCTAAATCAAACCGTTTTGGTGCCTTTATGTTTAGACCATTTTAACAAAATCTTCTCTTTCTCAGATACTCAGTCCTTCACGTTTATAAAATTGTGCGGTAGCCATAAAAAGCTCCTTATACCTTGAATATATGCAGTTTAAAAGTAAACAAAAACTGAAAGTAGTTTCTTAATCTCAATATTTAGGAGAGCGACTTGGCTAATTTGCAGGAGTCTTTAATGACTCTTTCGAAAGGAAAAGCCGGCGTGCGTCGAGAGGAGCAGGAGCAAAAGCTCCCCTTAAACGTGAAGGACTGGATACTCACTTAAAAAGAGCCACATGATCTATTGTATCAAAAAATAAAAACCGTCTCATTAATTACTGGATGTAAATATTTCCCCCATTTACAGGAAGTAACTATAAAAAATTTGAATGAATCGGACTCAATTATTAAGAACCCAGCAGAGATAAATGTTGACAATCATAAATTATACTGGATAAGCATAAATTCATGGGGCCACAGTGGCTCAGTGAGTAAGATGTTGACTTTAGATCCTGTGTTCGATACCTGCGTTGGCCCGGGAAGTTTGTGATTTTCCGGCATGCTTCCCCTTTGTCAGTGGTGCAGGACAGAGGGCCTAGCAAGGGACAATATATAGTCATTTGGATGGAACGAAAAACTGAGATGACATGCACATAAAAGATCCTTTGGCAGTTGGAATAGCACACTTTATGGCATATGCCCTTCTTATTAGCCCAGTGAGAGCAGAATATTTCATAAATTCATGTCGACATGAGATAATTGTAGTGCCTTGAAATGTGATATTTATGAGAAGTCGTTAAGCCCAGTAGTGATCCTTTGACAAAATAAAAACCTCCCCTAATCAGATGTTTTTTTAAGGATTGTCTGAGAATTGAATGAAGAAAGCAGGGGACTATTAAAATGGGTTCGTCCGTCTGTCACACTTTTTGGGACACAATAACCCTCCTTCTAATTGAGCTGGAATGTTCAAACTTGGTATAGGTGTTTATTAGGTCAATTTCTTGATGGAGTTCGAAGATGACCATTTTCTGCTTAGGGTAAACAGAGATAAGCAATTTGATTGTTTGATGCTTTGGGACACGATAACTTTAGTTCCAATTAAGTGAGAGTGATGAAACTTGGTGTATAGTTTCATTACATCCACACCTTGACTAAGTTCGATAATGAACATTTTCTGATCAGGGTAAGCCTAGTGATAAGCAATTTGATTGGTCGAGACTTTGGAACCCAATAACTCTCCTTCTAATTGAGCAACAATGTTCACACTTGGTGTAGGCGTTCATTTTGTGAATGCCTTGATAGAGTTTGAAGATGAGAATTTTCTGCAAAGATAAGCAATTTGATTGGTTGATGCTTTGGGACACGATAACTTTAGTTCTAAATTAAGTGAGAGTGATGAAATTTGGTGTATAGTTTTATTATATCAATACCTTGACTTAAGTTTGATAACTCCCTTGATGGAGTTCAGTGATAAACATTGTCTGCTTACGGTAAGCAGAGATAAGCAAACTGATTGGTTGATGCTTTGGGGCACGATAACTTTGGTTATAATTAAGTGAGAGTCATGAAACTCCGAGTATAAATTCATCATATCATTACCTTGACTAAGTTTGATGATGAGGATTTTCTGCTTAGGCTAAGTGGAGATAAGCAATTTGATTGGTCAAGACTTTGGCAAATAACAACCCTGCTTTTAATTGAGGTAGAATGTTTAAACTTAATGTAGTGTTTATTAGGTGAATGTCTTGACCGAGTTCAATGATTAACATTCAAGCTAAGCAGAGCTAAGCAATTTCATTGGTCGATGCTTTGAGACAAGATAACTTGTTAGAGTGATGAAATTTAGTGTATAGTTGATAACCGGTTTGATTGCTTGATACTTTTGAAAAAAATAAATGTACAATTAATTAGTATGTGTCATCTATTTATTTTGAGATTTCGGCGGGTGACATCAGTCTCACTGTTGGCTTGTTTTTTTTGAGGACCAATAGATTACATTAGGAATGTAATTGTTTGTGATATATCAAGTCAAGGGAGCATCATTTGTAAAGTTTTGAATTTAACATCGGAATAAGGTTTCTTTTCCTTTGTTTGGAGCATTTAATGATTGAGTTGTCTCTTGTAGGTTTCATGACTGGACAGACTTCGAAGAACATCATTCCACTTCAGATAGTTCTGGTTTTGCAGCATTACACAAAGAATTAGAACCATATCTAATCCGTCGAGTGAAAAAAGATGTTGAGAAGTCCCTTCCCGCAAAAGTAAGTTCTACACTAATGTTCTTTAGAAAGTATCAAATGTTGTTACATGCAGTTCTCTTCGTTTCCTTTTGCTCATCTTTAAATTAAAATCTTGAATCTGAAAAACAGTGTGATATGTTTTTCAGGTTGAACAAATTCTCAGGGTAGAAATGTCTTCATTACAAAAGCAGTATTATAAGTAAGTATTATAGAAATAGTATAACTCTGTTGTCTGTGTTGTGATAGTATTTCACACAAACTTTAGTAGGATTTTTCATGACTAATGCGTTCTTTTATTTTAAAGAATCAGAGATGGAATTGTGGACGAATATTGCCGTTGCCCCCGTCTGTCCGTCCATCCCTCGTCCACAATTTCTTGTGAACGCTCTAACGCCAAAAGTTATCATGCAGTTGTTTCAAAATTGATATATGGTCCTTGTTTCACTTTGTTGAACCTTGTGAACGCTCTAATGCCAAAAATTAACATCCGATCTTTGTGAAATTTATATGCAATATTTAAATTAGGGAAACGAAGAAGCCTATTGAATATCAGCAATTTCCGTTTATTACTTCTAGTGTTATGGCCCTTGTTTCACTTTATTGAACCTTTGAATGCCAAAAGTTATCATCCGATCTTTCTGAAATTTATATGCATTATTTAAATCCGTGAAATGAAAAAGCCTATTGAATTTCAGCAATTTCCGTTTATCACGTCTAGAGTTATAACCCTCGTTTCACTTTATTGAACCTTGTGAATGCCCTAACATCAAAAGTTATCTGCCGATCTGTATGAAATTACATGCGCCATTTAAATTAGTAAAGAGAAGAATCCTATTGAATTTCAGCAATGTCCGTTTATTACTTCTAGAGTTATGGCCCTTGTTTCACTTTGTTCAACCTTTTTAATGCTCAATTGTTGAAAGTTATCATCAGATATGTATAAATTTATATGCATCATTTAAATTTGTGAAACAGAGATCTATTGAATTTCAGCAATTTCCGTCAATAATTTCTGGAGTTATGGCGGTTGTGAACCTTGTGAACGCTTGAATGACAAAAGTGATCATCTGATCTGTATGAAATTTATATGCATTATTTAAATTGGTAAAACGAAAAAACCTGTCAAATTTCAACAATTTCTGTAGATTACCGGTACTTCCAAATTTCAACAATTTCTGTAGATTACTTCCAGATTTGAGACCCTTGTTCGAGTTTGTAGAACCTTGTATGGAACTGTCTTGTAAAGGCCCCGCCCGGACTATTTAGCTGCTGTGGGCGTATGTTTTGTTGCCTGGCAATTATCTTTTAAAAAAAGTCTGTCCTCCCGCACGACCAAAAACTATAGTGTTTCAGTAAAATTTATTTTTACCAGAAATTTATCAGAATTCCATTTAAAAAAAAATAAAATACTGCCTACTAGCTCCAATTTTTCAAGAAATACTAACTTTTTCTTATGCACACTCACATTATAGTTGGGGCACCAGTACAAATAAAGGTCCGTAGAAATTTTAAAATGGTCGCCAGACTATGGTTTGCATCAATTATAATAGAGAAATTTAGCCCATTTTGTGAATGCTTTATTATAAAGAAACAAATATTTAATTAACAAGGATCATTTATCGTGTCCTGTGAATATCAATATCTCTAATATCATATGCAAATTATTTTATTATTATATATCTTTTTCTGATATCAGATGGATCTTGACAAGAAATTATAAAGCTTTGAATAAAGGTACAAAGGGAAATATTAGTAGTTTGTGTAATATAGTTATGGAATTAAAGAAATGCTGTAATCATTCGGAGTTGATTCGTCAATCAGAATCAGAAGAGGAACGTCTACAGGTACCGTATTTAAGATTTTGATAAATCTTTACAGAGAAAATGATGAAATGTTAGAAATTGATGTCTGGACCTCTGAGAGTAACTTGATGTTTTCTAATTTCTGATCTCTGGTTGCAAACATACATTTCATTAACCTTTAGGTAAAAAAAGCCCCATTGTCTTGGGAATTATTCTCCAGTCGCTCATAGCACATGCATCCATAGCTACGAGTACGTAACTAAAAATGTTGAGATATACTGATGTGCTTGTTTTTAGCTAGGATTAGGTTCCTTTAGTTTCACCTGGCAAACTTAATTTATTTATTAATGCATGGACCAACTTAAAATAAATTAATTTTATACTATTAGTACTTATTACACATACGTAGCCCAATCTACTGATACAACAGTCATTTATCAGCAAATATTGACAATAAAGTAAATTAAGCATTGTTTTTATCAAAATTGATACGGACATTCATAATTACGGTGTATTACTCTTGCGCAACTCTAAATCAGGTTAGTACTTTGATTGGCTATTGCACACGAGGCCCCGCCTTTATGTGTTAAAATGTCGAAGAAAGCAATCTTGTATCGCTTCGATTTAAAAAGAGAGGATTTGTACCCGTGTCGGGTAGGATTTTCTGCTGAATTGTAGTTGGATGTGGCAGAAATGCTATAAATAACTATAATCAATCATTGTTTTGATGAAAAATGTTGTCAATTTTGCTTACTGATGCCCGATGCAATTTGCTTTGGCCTTTGCTACCTGGAACTATATAGGACCATCTCTTATCTTGAAACACGGAGGGTTGAGAGATGAGGGTTGTTATCTAATGCATCCACAGTAAATAAAGATAACCCTATATGTTCAAAGGGTTAAGTCTTCATATCATGTTCGGATCCATTTTTTTGTTTTATTTCAGTCAATAATTCGTGGTAGTGGTAAACTAATATTGTTAGATAAGTTATTATTACGGTTAAAAGAAAGTGGTCACAGGGTCCTTATCTTCTCTCAGATGGTTCGTATGTTAGACATACTAGCTGAATATCTACGTCTACGCCATTTTACATATCAGGTATGAATATATTTACATTAATAATAGAATGAAGTAAGCTACGCTAAAAATTAACATGTTATGTGGTAACTACCATCTAGGTTTTAAACAAATGAATCACAGTAGCACTAGAATAGACTCCGATCCAACAACATTTTTAGTATATTTTCACAAAAACTCAGTTTTACAGAGTATCTACTCTAGAGAAAGTGCAAAAATAAATTGCTCTTCCTTTTCTGCATAGTTGAAAATATTATAACAGTAGACAAATTGCAGTGTCTGGATTTTTCTTTCAATAGAAAGCATAATAAATAAATAAATGTAAACATTTTAAGATTAGAGATCAGATGTAAAATCATGGACTAAGATATGATGATATTCATTGATGTCTGGACCGTCTGATGTCAATAATCTGATGCAGACTTTATTTATATCCTGACCTTAGTTCTACAACTTGGTACTATTTTACCATTATTCCATGTAACTGAGTAGTACAAGAATATTGTGTATTTGTAGAGATTAGATGGAGGGATAAGAGGAGAATTAAGAAAACAAGCTTTAGATCATTTTAATGCTGAAGGTTCACAAGTAAGTTCTTATTCTTAAATATTTCATAAACTATAACTTAAGGTTCATATAGACAGTGCAGGAAAACTGCAGAACAGAATACAGACAGAAAAAACAATGAATACAGCACAGACAATATGGTGAGGTACATAATTTTGAAAAAGCATAAATCTTTGATATTGGAAATGATATTGTGATTCATACTGTAACACAATGTCTGATCAGTAAAACATTCAAGTACCATACTGTTATTGTCCTCCGCCTTTCGAAGAAAGCTCGGGACTATTAAAATGGGAATAGATTCATCATTATATCAATACCTTGACTAAGTTGGATGATGAGAATTTTCTGCTTAGGCTAAGGAGCGATAAACAATTTGATTGGTCAAGACTTTGGAACATAAGTCTGCTTTTAATTGAGGTAGAATGTTTAAACTTAAGTGAATATCTTGACTTTGGAACATAACTCTGCTTTTGATTGAGGTAGAATGTTTAAACTTAAATGAATATCTTGACCAATGATTAACATTTTCTGCTAAAGCTAACCAGAGCTAAGCAATTTCATTGGTCGATGCTTTGGGACAAGATAACTGATGGAGAGTGATGAAACTTATGTATAGTTTCATCACTAGGTACTTGAAAACATTCAGTTTAATCGTGAACATTTTCTGCTTAAACTTAGTATAGATAATCAGTTTGATTGCTCGATACTTTTCAAAAAGATAAATGTGCAATTAATTAATGTGTCATCCATGTATGTTGGAATTGCGACAGGGGACATCAGCCGCACTGTTAATTTTATGCATTTGTTTATTTTCAGGATTTTTGTTTTTTATTATCTACAAGGGCTGGTGGTTTAGGTATAAATCTAGCTACAGCTGATACAGTTATAATATTTGATAGTGACTGGAATCCACAGAATGATTTACAAGCTCAAGCTAGAGCTCACAGAATAGGCCAAAAAAATCAAGTTAGTCTTTTCATACTTTTTATATGCCCACATTAGAATGTGGTTGTATATTGTCATTGTGGCCGCCCGGTGTCCACAATTGCTTGGGGACGCTCAAGGGCCTAAGATTAATATCCGATTGACTTTAAATTTATACAGAGTTTAAGGTCATGAGACGAAGAAGCCTGAAGGGTATAGATGTTCAACGGTTTCCGATAATTACTGCCAGAGTTGAGGCCCTAGATCACTTTGAAATTTTTTGTGGACACTATAGAGGCTAAAGTTAATATCCAATTGACTTTAAATTTATACACAGTGTTTAAGGTCATGAGACGAAGAAGCCTATTCCTATTGATTTTCAACGATTTCCGATAATTACTGCCAGAGTTAAGGCCCATGATCACTTTGAAAAATCTTGTGGATGCTCTAGAGGCTAAAGTTAATATCCGATTGACTTTAAATTTGTATACAGTGTTTGAGGTCATGAGATGAAAAAGCCTGTTGATTTTCAACGACTTTCGATAATTACTGCCAGAGTTATATCCCTTGATCACTTTGTGTTTGGCCCTTCACCTAAAAAGTTTGCTCACCATTGCTCTAGAGGGTCAAGTTAAGTGTTTAAGGCCATGAGATGAAGAAACCTAGTGATTTTCAATGATTTCCGATAATTACTGCAAGAGTTATGGCCCTTGATCATTTGTGGATTCTCCAGAGACCAAAGTATATTGATTTTCAATGAATTTTGATAACTTGGACAGCTAAATCCATGATATTAAATGTTTCGTATACTAAACGTTAGCATGGAGCAGAACTAAAAGCCAAATGAATTCTAATGATTTTCTTATATTTAATGAGTTGTTACTCTTATTCAGATTTTAGTGTATTATAAATGTTTCATTATGGACAATAGAAAAAATATGCGACAACTCTTGTTGACTGCTCAGACGACTTAGCTGCATGCAGTGGGTGTATGTTTCATGGCTGGCAACCTATCTTTATAAACACTAGCAGCAACCATTTATAATACTAACATTTAATACGGAGGAAAGGAAATGTAACTGAATGACTGTTGCAAGCCTAAATTTGATCTGTTTGAAAGGAAAAGAAATTAAATTATTGCAAGAATGCTGCAAAAGAACACTGTGTTTCGTGAAGTATGTTTTAACATGTGCAAAATATTAGAATTATTGTTTTTCCCATTAATATATTTCAACGATTTATTTTTGTGTGTTTTTAGGTGAGTGTGTATCGTTTAGTAACTAAAGGTAGTGTAGAAGAAAATATTGTAGAAAGGGCTAAAAAGAAAATGGTGTTAGATCATTTGGTTATACAGCGTATGGACACTACTGGTCGTACTGTTTTAAGCCGAGGAAATGCTCCTTCCAGGTAAATTTAGTTTATTTATGGGAACTTAGCCTCAAGGTTCAACAGATAAAATGATGAAATTGATGTCTGATCTGACAAAATGTTAATGGTCTTGGATATGAACTCTCAATTACAGCAAACAACCAGGCTGATAAAGGCAGACACATGCCTGGCAATGAGGGAAATTTTGCCCTACTGCTGTTTTTTTTTGTTTTTTTGTTGTTTTTTTTTTCTTCCATTCTAAAAATTTAACTGGTTCTCCAAATCTGGTTAAAATATAAGATAGAAAGAACCTGAATAAAAAATGGATTTGGTTTGGCCGTAAATAATATACATTTAAATAAATGTTGATATATTTTTTATTTAAGCAGTAGCTCAACACCTTTTAATAAAGAAGAATTGGCTTCCATTTTGAAGTTTGGTGCTGAAGAATTATTTAAAGAAAGTGAAGGTGATGAAGAAGAACCACAGGTAATTATTTATGCCTGTAGAATTTTGATCAAGAGAACCATCTTTCTATTTATAGTTAATACACTCTCTGAAATAGGATTTTTGTATTGGCAATTGTAGAAATAGAACAATCCCTGCTCAACAGTAGTACAGACAATTTTTTAAGTAGAAATGAGAGGTGGTTTATACTTCATAATGTTTCGGGTGATACAACCCTTTTTCAAATAATAACATTAAATAATCCTTTGCCGCCTTTATATATACAATAGTAGTGACGTCACAGGATTTTTAAAATTTATGCGATGTACAAATAATGATTTTTAAAACAGAAGGTTATTAAAGGAATGGATAATTGTTTAATTCAGCAGCTACACAGATCTACCGGCCTGTCCAGCCTTTTAAGGGAGTTCTGCGGTTCCCCCTCCCTCTTTCTCGTTATATTATCAATTGTGAAAAATACCACAGGATACTCTCCCTCGACTGCTCTGGACCTGTTTGACAAAAACAACCTCTATATTGGCACCTTGCAATTAATGATACATTATGTAAGATTTAGGTAAAGAGCTGGTCGTCCTTACTATAATTGTTCAGAAATAAATAATAAGAAATTAATATATTGAAAATTTCGGTCAAATTACTTTATTCTGAACAAAGTTATTGAATTAGTTTTGACAAGAATGTGATGATTTAGCTTTTACAGAATGTATCTTTAAAGTAAGAATAACCATCCAAGATGAATGTACATGCCATTATTATTTGTTGGATACTTAAAAGTTCACCTTAGGAAAAAAATCGAAATTATAGATATTAAGTTGAGGGTTTAGTTAACTTCATTAAACCTATTTTATTGCATCGACTCCAATTGATGAATTGGTCATTATTATTATTATGTTGTAATAATATAGGTTGATATAGATGAGATATTGAATCGAGCTGAAGTAAGTGAAACAGTAGCTACATCAGTTGGTGATGAATTGTTATCACAGTTTAAAGTTGTTAGTTTTGATAATATGGAAAACGAAGAAATTGAAATGAAAGGTAATTTACATTATTTGAATAATTCTTAGTAGAGTTTTTACAGGGCTAGCTCTGGAAAAAAGATCCATTAGCCAAACTCACTGGCAAAGGGGCAAACTGATAGCCAAATATCAAGCATGTTAGCAAAAAAAAATAATGCAATTATTGGGTCAGGCGATTGAATAATCACCTCCTTTCTCAATAATTGCTGTATCACGATATATCAGGATTATTTTCAAATAATATTTGGGACATATTTCGTATCCTTACTTGCTACTCCACGAAAATAAAAATTTGTCGCTAGAATTTTTGCCAAAAGGGATTTCTGTTCACCATTCACGAGCAGCCAGAGGGGGCCCTGGTTGTTTAATGTTATCAAACTGCTAAATTATCATGTAATAGTAATCGGGCTTTGAAATGGAGCACTTGTTTTTATTAATATTTCGAATAGTAATGTATAACACAAAGTTCAAAATGTCATGTACCAGGGATGGACAATAATTTTAATAAATCATTTAATCACAATAATTTAAATAACTTACAATGAGGAACACAAAGTTTGTTTCTTATTTTTTTATGGAACTTCTAGGATTTTAATACTAAACTAGACTCACATTGAGTGGACATAAAACCCAATCTCTCTTTAAACTTGTTTACTGATTGATAAAAGTTGTGCTATTGATGTGAGATTCAGATAATCTGTAATGGATTCATACATGGCTGAGATCAGTGGATTCAGTGTTATGAAGTTTAAATTTTCTTTGAAGGAGGAAGAGATTGGGAACAAATTATACCTGAAAATGATAGAAAGAAAGTCGAAGAAGATGAAAGACAGCAACAATTATTAGAGTTACATTTACCACCCCGCAGTAGAAAAACTATACAACAGGTATTTAAATATTGTTTCTTCTTTAAATTAAATCTGCACATTAAATTAAATCTGCACATTAAGTTAAATATACTTGTATTTCTTTTCGTAAATCATGATTTATTAAAAATATTTGCATTTTGCCTATCAAATGTATGAAAACAGAAATTTCAGTCTTTGATATTTTTCATGAGACGGCATTGAAATGTGGTGGTATATTATTGTCACCCAGGTGAGATGAAGAAGTCGATAATCACTTTCAGAGTTATTGTTTTGGATTACTATTAAATATCTTGTGGCCTCTTTACTATTTAAAATTATTATCCAATTGATTTGAAATTTATACATGGTTAAGATTAAGAATCCTATTGATATTCAAAGATTTACGATAAATCCCAACAGCTAATTGTATCCTGATTACAAGTACATGTTTTGTATAATGAATGTTAGAACTAGGAAGAAATAGAAGTCAATCAAACTTTAATTACTTCATGTGTTATTTTAAATGTTCCTATTACCTGCAAAGGAATAGATATGCGACAACCTTTGTGGACTCCTCAGATAAGTTTGGCTGCTATACACGTGTATTGCATTACCTTTCAACCTATCCTTGACAGTATTTGCAATTTATTATTTTAGTTACAATTAGAAGATTCAGATGGTGATAAATCGCGTAAAAAGAAGAAAGATGACGATTCAGAAGGTAGTGAAGATGGAGACGATGATGATGAAGATCGTCCCAAGAGAAGAGGAAGACCACAAACTGTTGCACGAGAAAAATTAAAAGGGTTCACAGACCAAGAAATCCGACGATTCATCAAAAGTTATAAAAAGTTTGGTGCACCCATTACCAGGTAAATCTAAATTACCAAATTGTCTTGATCCTTAATATATTAGCAGAATAGTCTGTCTGTGGATATTGCCAAATTTTGTGGTTTGATTTTGAAATTTTTGTCGTTCAGAATTACATAAGGAAACTTGATTATCAATGTTGTCTATATAAGATAATTTCAGATTTGTTTATGTGTTTTAGGCTGGATGCGATATCCGGTGACGCTGAACTACAAGAAAAATCTGAATCTGAGTTAATGAGATTTGCACAGTTGCTTAAAACCACATGTGAAGATGCTATGGCAGAATATAAATCCAAATTAGCAGAAGATCCGAACTTTGATGGTAAGGTTAACATTTATTCTATATTGTCTTTCTGACCAGCCTTTTTCAAAATAACAGAACATTTAAAACCTGTTTTCTCAAGTAAAAACATATTAGATGTGTCCAAAGTTGAAATTAAAGTGAATGTGAAGTTTATTTTTTGAAATATTATTTTAAACAGGAAAGAAAACACATCGTGGTCCTACTGTCAAGTTATCAGGTGTAATGGTTAATGCTCAGGCAGTATTAAAAGCTGAACAAGATTTAGAACCATTGGTACAATTTATTACTACTGATCCTGAAAAACGTAAAAAGTGAGTTTATCATTATAACTGTAATGCTTGCAAATGTTAAATTACTTAAATTAAAGAAGTTAAAAGTTATTTGGTCTAAGAACAGTTTATGATCTTACAAAATAGTGAAGTCAGAGTATGCAAACATAAAATAATTAAATCCATTAACTTATTTTAGCCATTAGTACTGGTACTATGTTAAATTGAAAAATCTGGATTGTCGGTCTTTTCCGCAGGTTAATTATTTCAGATTTGTTTAAGAATATATTGTGGATACTCATACATTCATCAAACACACACTTAGTGTTTAAGAATTAGCTTATAACTATTGCAGTTCAAAGTGCAGTGTTGTAAAATTTAGCTAATGGCAAATTGTAATTAAAAGTAGTGTTGTAATATATACTATTCAAAAAAAGTAGGGGATATTTGATTTTGGGGGCATAATACTAAAATATGCAAATGACTACGAAAAAAGTCACTATAGAACCTAACAGAAGAAACATTTCCAGTTACATGTGACGCCCAAACGCACCAATAGCTACCGCATGGAATGCAGGTGATGCTTGGGATCATCATGGGGGTCCAACCCAAGATTTGCACGACTCTGACTTTGAATGTTACAGTCATTGTGGCATTGAATTCCAGGGTGGAAACATCAGTTTAATTGTTTTAGTGACCAGAAAACAAATTTTGATATACGTCAGCTTACCCAAAATGAAAGGTTACGTGCCCTTGGCATGCTACAGATCGACACAACACATGCAGTTGTGGCGCGGACGATGAATGTTTCTCAGTCTGTCATAAGCAGGCTATGGTCCAGATACCGTGATACACAATCTGTACAGGACAGACCACGCTCAGGTCGACCAAGGGCGACAACTCAAGCCCAGGATCGATTTATCCGTACCTTGGCCTTGAGAAATCGTGTCATCACAGCAAATCAGATCAGCCCTCGTCTTCAAACAGACACTGGTGTGAGAGTGAGTGGCCAGACGATTCGGAATCGACTGCATAGGGGTCACCTTCGCGCCCGACGTCCTCGCGTGATCCCTTGTTTGAGAGATCATCACATTCAGGCAAGACGTCGTTGGTGTGGGGATCGTCAACACTGGGATAATCGACGCTGGAGCAATGTGATGTTTTCAGATGAGTCAAGGTTCACTGTTGATTTTTTGGACAGACGTAGGAGGGTGTGGCGTCGTCGAAACGAGCGCTTCCAAGACGTTAACGTCATCAGACATGATCGATTTGGGGGTGGTTCTGTTATGGTGTGGGGAGGCATCACTGTTGCTGGAAGAACGGCTTTACATGTTGTTGCAGGGCGTGTTACAGGCCAGTACTACCGGGACAACATCTTGGCAGTCCATGTTGTGCCGTTCGCACGACGTCATGGCCGCCGTTTCATCTTCCAGGATGACAACGCAAGATGTCACAGGGCCAGGATCGTTACAGGTTACCTCCAACAACAGAACATCACCACATTACCTTGGCCAGCACTGAGTCCCGACCTCTCCCCCATCGAGCATGTCTGGGACATGCTTGGACAGAGGTTACGTCAACGTCAACAACGTCCTGCCAATGTCCAAGAACTTGCTGCTGCGTTGCAACAGGAATGGGACAATCTGGACCAAAATGACCTTAGACGTCTCATTAGGAGTATGCCACGTCGGATCAATGCTTGTTTGGCAAACAGAGGAGGATTTACCCGTTACTGACTTGGTTGTGATGCTGTGGTAACTTTGCTGTTTGACCCCGGGTATCATTTTACCCTTATAATGGTCAGTCTGTGCCTTACTTAGTCTAACGATCATTTGGAATAAATCGATGAATGTGAACTTCATTTCATTTTGTCATTTGTTTCTTCGTCAGTTTCATTAGGTGACTTTAATAACACTTAAAAATCAAATATCCCCTACTTTTTTTGAATAGTATATATTTCTATATTTGTTTTACAGTTTACAGTTAACCTGTCATGTAAAAGTAGTACACTGGGATTGTCTGTGGGAGAAAGAAGATGATTGTAATTTATTAAAAGGAATTTATGATTATGGTGTGGGCAGCTGGGAAGCCATTAAAATGGATCCTGATCTTAATTTACATAAAAAAGTAAGTATTGGCTTACACCAGTGGTTCTCAACCTTTTTTTTTTTTGCCAATGGCACACCTTGGAATACATGAAAAAATAGTGGCACACCTGGCTAAATATATATGAAAAATAATAACATACAACCGTAGACAGAGATTAGTCATAGTCGCATAGACTGACTCGAACTAAATGAAGAAAAACACAGCTATGAACTAATCAGTAGACACCAGTGAATACTCAATTGGGATCACATGGTTTTTCACATTTTCTTAGTGTGCTGTTCAAAATTTCGCGGCACACTTAGGAAGATCTTGTGTGCGGCACACTGGTTGAAAATCACTGGCTTACACAATCAGTCATGCCAACAACCATTAAAATTTTCTCTGAAAATATTAATTAGTTCCACCATAGTTTTCTGGAGTGTTTTTGCTTATATGAAGTTGTAAGGCTATTGTTCTGATTACATAATCTGCTAGATATGTTATGTCTGTCCATCATACTTTTTAGGACACAATAACTCTTCTTCTAAATGTGTAATTAATTAATGTGTCATCTATTCATTTGTTGGCTTGTCAGTCTTTCTTTTGCAAATTCGAAGATGTAAAGATATTATACTTTTATATAATTAGATGTATGTAATATGTTATAACTGTATACAATGATCTACATATTTTATCAGTCTTTCTTTTGCTCATGCGAAGATGTCAAGATATTGTACTTGTATATAATTAGTTGTATATAATATTGTGTTACAGATTTTACCGGATGGAGAATGTAAACCTCAAGCTAAACATTTACAGACACGTGTAGATTATCTATTAAAAGTGTTACGTAAAGTGTCCGATCCCATTAAAGAGCCCAAACCTGTAAGTTAGATTACCCTATATTTATATTAAACTTTTTATTAAACCTCTAAACTGCGTTCTGAATTAATGTTCTTGGGTCTTTGGTTATGTAGATATTAATTCTTCACATTTGCACATGAACATTCGAGCCTCCACGTTAAAATACTGTGATTTTGGTTGTAGAGTCAATGTTAAACATTTAATCCTTTGTGGTTTTCCAGCCCAAAACACCTAAAACTCCAAAGTCCCGGAAAGGTAAGAAAGTGAAATCTGTTGCAGAAGTAAAAGATGAGATAAGTAGTTCCGATGATAATATACAGGAAGATACTAACGATAGTTTTGCTGTAACTAGTCCTAAAAAACATGATGTGGATGATACAGATAAAAAACATGAAGATAAAGTTAAAAAAGAGAAAAAGGAAAAGAAAAAAGGCAAGAAAAAAGAAAAGGATAAGGAAAATAAACAGAAGGTGTGTTCACCATTACAGATGAATTTGTATTACTCATTTCTGTGTCAAAGTAATGGTTAGAAATTAAATTATTTATTTATAAAGAGTAAATGATGAAATGTTAGAAATTGATGTCTGGACCTCCGAGAGTAACTTGATGATGTCTGATTTCTGATTGCCCAATACATGGTAATAATGTTATTTTTGTGAAGCGAAAACTATGATTTTGTATTTGATATTACAGTCTGAAGATGGACCAAAACATTTTACTGCCTCATCTGAACCTATCAATATATCTGAAGAAGTGGATATGCCAGTAGAATTAACACAAGAAATCTTTAGTCAGGTAATTTTGGAATTGTTTTCTAACCTTCCTTTGACATGATTAATCATCCATGAAAGAATGGACGTAAAATATAATCTTTAAATGGCATTTAGTAATTGAATTAAGCAAATTCATGGTCGCCATTACCTGATGATAATTAACGACTGTCCAGTACCGATTATAATTCTCAATTACATTTATGAAGGTTGTGTTCTGATAATTAAGCCTAAGATACACTTACGGTTTCAACAACAAATGTTTGTTACTTCTCTTTGTGGGGAGTTGGATGGCTGAATGGTTAGCGTGCGCGCGCTGTATCATAAAGTCTGTCATTGAGTCGACTGGCGTGGTTTCGAATCCCCGGTTGTACGTGGCAAGAAATAGGGTCGCCTGTCCAACCTCGTGGGTTTTCTCTGGGTCCTCCGGTTTCCTCCCACTGCTAAAGACCCCTACGCGCAAGCGAATTAATGAAATAAAATTTAAAAACCATATGTTAGTCCCGAAATGACCTAGTTTGTGTCGAGTGGACGTTAAACCCCATTTCTCTCTCTCTCTACTTCCCTTTGTGCCTTGAAATTTACGGTAATCTGAAGATTTTTTTGAAATAAAAACTTGTCATGTTGCCCTTTTCAAGGGACATGGCAGTATCAGAACCAGATTTATTTATTTTTTCCATAATGCCTTAAGGTATTTTAAAAAGAAGTATTGTGTACTTACAGTGTAAAGAGAAAATGAGACCAGTAAAGAAAGCCTTAAAACAATTAGATAATCCAGAAGATGGTTTAAATGAAAAAGAACAAATAAACCATATGAAATCCTGTTTATTGAAAATAGGAGATAGAATAGCGGAGTGTTTAGAACGTATCAATGATCAAGAACGTATTCGACTGTGGAGGAAGTAAGATATAGTATATATTTTAGAATGATAATAAAGATTGTATTGATATCCTGCAGATATATTTTATAGGGAATACTCGATTGAACGCTCCAGAATTGAAGTCTCTAAATCCCCATAATAGTGACAATCGAGTGAGATAAAAAAAAAAAAAATTAAATTCTGAAAGGTTCTGAGATGATAATTTTACTGACTTTAAATCACACAAACGGTCCATGTTCCCAAAAAGGTTTAAATTAGATTGCCAGTTTGATTAAGCTACAGACAATTTGTAGACATTTGAATGAAGAATTATGTATGTATATATATATATATGTATATTGTTTTATTACAGTTATCTATGGTTGTTTGTATCACGGTTTACAGAACTTGATGCCAGTAAACTTCATAAGTTATATAAATCAGCTGTTAAAAAACGTATTAAAGGAAAAGAAAAAGTGAGTTATATGTGTACTAATGGTGAATCTAAAGAACAAATCCTTGTCTGTCAGTAATACATAGGGGATGGTCAATTCACAGTCCAGAATGTCCCGAATTGACAGAATTGCAATTGAGTAACGCGGAATTCAGTTCTGTCACAGTTCTGTCAGTCCCGACAACGAAGGTGGTGTGAGTAGAATTGTGACGTAATTAAACACAAGAAATATGTTTCGGCTGCATGGTTGGTTGAGATATTTACTTATTCAGTCGATTGTCACTATTTTTGTGATTGAGAGAATTCAATTCTGGAACGTTCAATCGAGTACCCCCATATTCATTACCACTGTATCTCTATTACTGAAACAAAAAACTGATAAAATATGCATTTACTCAATTGAGGTAAACGTTGTTTGCGCGCAGAAAGATGAGAAAAGAATAAAAAATGACTTTTGTTTTTTTAGCCAAAGATAGTGTCAGAGTCTTCCAATCTGAGTTTACCTGATCAACATTCCAGTAAGTCAAACCGTAAAAAACGACCATTAGAGAAATCAGGTGATTCTGGAAAGAAAGATAATACATCGTATAAAAAACATCATAGTGAAAGTGACAAAAGTAAAGACAGGTCAGTATCCATCTATTCTTTCCATTGATCCATACTGGCGGAGTTTCGATTCGCCGGTTGTACGTGACAGGGAGTAGGGTTGCCTGTCCAACCTCGTGGGTTTTCTCCGGGTCCTCCGGTTTCCTCCCACTGCTAAAGACCCCTACGCGCAAGCGAATTATTGAAATAAAAAAATTAAACCATATGTTAGTCCCAAAATGACCTAGTTTGTGTCGAGTGGACGTTAAAACCCATTTCTCTCTCTCTCTCCCATTGATCCATGAATTTTGAATAAATTTTTATCATTAAATGCTCATTGAAGGAAAGTTTTATAATAATTCATGTTTATTATAGTACAAGTAACGGTCAAAAAACATCTACTACACAAAGTAGTAGTCATTCATCATTCCATAATGCTGTTAGTACAGCTAGTAGAGATTCACTACATCATGAAAACAGCAATAGCTCTAGTCCAGTAGAAAGATGGCAGCTAGCTAGTCCATTAGCTCGTGCTGAGGAACCACCTAGAAACAGGTAAGCTATGGCATTTACCTTGATTGCTTGATGCTTCTTGGATTTTGTAGCTTAGTCTTTAGCATAATTAAAGCTTTATTGTACAATTGAATATGTATTATAGAAAATGAATGCATAGGCAGCAAAATTTGATACATAGTCTCTGACAAAAAAAATTGAACAGTGAAAGCCATACTAAACTCTTATTTAATGAAAAAAGCTGTAGTGTGGTTGTGTTAATATCGTAATTAGGTTGACTAGAAATGAAGGATATTATATTGTCGAATGTCTGTTATTATAGATATGATGGAGGAGCAGGGGCATATGGTAGTAGAAAACATTATGATTCTCATAGATCTCATCATGATTATAAAACACAGACAGATTCTTATAACAGGTAATGACGCTTTACTTTTATTTTATTTGCTGTGGTGGAACTCAACTACTGCAATGGCTTTACATAAGATGGAGAAATTGAAAATTTAACATATTTCCTAAGCACATTGTTATGTATAAAAGAAGAAATGAAATATTGTTTTAAAATTGACACATTTTTATAATTTTGTCTTTGAAACACCGTATTTTAAAAAATCTTTTTGTATTGAACCCTAAAACAAATTTATCACTTTTTACAAGAAAACTTAATATTACATCTTTAATTTTTCATTATTATTTTAGAAACAACAATAATTATCAGCGACATCATGGCAGCACAGGTTATCATCGGCATGATCGGGACAACCAAAATTATAGATCTGATCCTTATCAACGTCGAGATACATCTCATCGTAGTGAACAGTATCGTTTAGATACATATCGTACTGAATCAAGGTCAGATTATGGTGGACATTATCGTGATCAAGAGGCACATTACTCTAGACAAGGTGAAGATTGGACCAAAAGGTAAATCATTGTCAACTACAATTTGTTCAAATTGGACTCCCCCCCCCCCCACACACACACACACACCCTCCCCAACTCTGATTCTATTTTGCAGAAACTATCAATTAAAAAAATCCAGGATAATTGAACAGCAAAAAACATTCAAAACAAACAATACATTGGAAAACCATTAAATACACTTTCTTGGATAAAGTGCAAATATTGTATGATGTGACCAATAATAAACATATTTTTGTCTTGTAGTTCGTCGACTGAGAGGGAGAGAAAAAGAAAGAGTGACGACTATTCTGATCATTCAAGAAGATTATCCAAAGATCCACGATTAGATGCAAATCGTCCACAAACTAGTCCTACCTAGTTATATATGATAGTTAGAGACCTATTATATGTTTCAATCTGTGATTCCTTGGTGCTGTATTGTGCTGTTTAATCCAACACGTACAGGAAGTTGTTAAATGCCCCGTTGAAAGCTGTGATAATGCCTTATGACTACTCATACAGCCACTGTGTGTTGATTTTCACAAACACTGTTACCGGACTCAAAATGTCTCATGTCAGTTATTTGGAACTTATTTATTGCTCATCAACTAGATATGACTGCCAGCCGAGTGTTGCATAATGTTCCTATTAAATGATTAAATGAGTATCTGTGTGTGAGTGAGTTTTTGAGAGATTTTAAGTGGGAAAAATGTATCTTCACAGTAAAAATAAGTATGGGGTAACTACATAATTTAAAAGCTATATATTCAAACAGGCTTGATGTTAGCTTTCAGTTATTATATCTTGCATACTATCACCAAACAGTTGTTATTGAGTACTGATTCCATACATACATGTTAGTCTCAAAATGGCTGAAGTTAAGACATTAAACTCCATTCCTTTCCTTTCCAAATGTTGTTCATGTTAAAATAAGGTTGTAGTCGGGAGAAGTCAGATATTTCTATACAGTGTTTGCATTTATCTACTGTGTGAGTGAATAATTAAAAAAACAAAAAAAAACTTTAATAAGAACTCAGGGGTTCCAAATACCATAGTGTGCTTTATTTTAGATCCAAACTATTTTCTATGCAATGTATTTTTAGTTTAATATTAAGAGCTGGCTTTTGTGTTAAAGTTTTGTTCATGAAAATTGTGGTGTACATACTATTATACTGAAAATTTTTACAAGCTTTTGTTGTCCTGATTCATTAGAAGCTAGCAAGAAGAGTGAGATTGCCATTATTGTATTTATGTATATAATGAAATTTAAAAAGGTATTTATTTTGAATTTTGTTGTCTCTTCAAAGATTTTGAGAAAAAAACTTCTCTTAGAAACACATTCCCGACAGCGTGTTTTTCAGAGGCGCCTGTATTTCTTTTTTTCTCCGAGTCATGTATATGTAAAAGGTTTTTCAAGGACAAAATTACTTTACATTTGAAAAAAAATCTGTATAGAGATTGAAACATTTTAAAATATGTTGATGAAATGAATCCTAATTGATATGCTGACTTATAGGTATTGTATTCTATTTACAACTTACATAAATTTTTCTCTGGCATCCAACTTGCTTATGCAATTTCTTGCTTTGTGGTCAACAGTAATTAAATTTAGTTTGTGCAGAATTTGTTAAAAACTAGGCAAATAAATTTTAAGCTGATTTAAAAGGATAAACATTAAGACTTCAATTTTTGATTGGTTGGTTATGATATAAAGACATCAGGTTTCTTGATTGGTCAGACCAAATTGAAGCTTGTACGGATTTAAAATACAGATGTGACATCATCCTTTGATGTTGCCGTACAAGACATTTCGTAATATGTGGATATATTACATTTCGTAATATGGGGATATATTACATTTCGTAATATGGGGATATATTACTTAATGCCTCGCACTCGACCATTAAACCACACTTAATTTCCACAATAGGACATCTTTATGGATGTTGTGCAGAAGTAGGTGTTTGGCTTATATAATTGGTCTGATCTGATTGGTACTTGACTTGTTAATACAGAAATCTTCTGTTCTTAAACACCAACAAAATCATGCATTATTACCATTTATTTTTCTTAGGCCTATGCACACCAGATTATGTCTGTGACTGATGAATAATAATTGGATTGTGGTGACAGACAGCCTGGCAATTTGTCCCCAATGTTTCAAGGTTCAATAATGTATTCTATTAGTAGACATTCCATCGCTGACAGTATATGTTGGCTGATTAAATATATTTCCAAATGCACACTTTTATAATGTAGATGGTTTATTTAAGCCTACTAAGCTAATTATTGTATGCGAAAATTCTAGTGCGTGACATACAATCAGAATGTCATCAATGAGAAATTGTGTTTAGGGAAACTTGTGTATTGAGTTTTTTACCCAAACGATTGTCACAAACAAGTAATTGGGCTGTTGGCGACAAATAATCTTTAGTGTGTGCAGGCTCATAGATTTCATAACTCAGTTAATAGGATACATTAAAAGCTAGAAAAGGTGAAGTTGTATTGAGTACAATGTTATTAAGAAGAGTGATGTTTATTTTGTACACAAATTATAAAGGTTGTATGAATGTTATTGCTGTATAAATTGTGTTCCTGGTCTGTAAGGAGTCTTGTATGAACTGTAAGATAAATTGTAAATATTTTCTCTCCCTTCCCATCCATGTCCACACAATGTAAATATACATCATGTAGAATTTCTACATACAAATAAATCATTTAACTAATTCTAGTCTTGTTTGGAATTTACTAAATGTTAAGGGGTGGTTTCCTCTTTGTCAGTGGGAGGAATTTCTACATACAAATAAATCATTTTACTAATTCTAGTCTTGTTCGGGATTTACTAATTGTTAAGGGGCGGGTTCCCCTTTGTTAGTGGGTAAGGATGAATGGTCTAGCAAGGAACCGTGTATAGTCATTTGGATGGGACAAACAACTGATGTCCTGTGTACATGGTGGCATGCACATAAATTCAAGATGGCTTATCCTCTCTACTATTGGGAACGCACATACATGACTGCATAATTTTGTATGTCATTTTAGAATTCAAGATGGCCACCAAGACGTTTTTAATGCTTAGCCTCTCTACTTTTGGGAACACATACATGACAAATATTTATTTTATTTTTTTTAAGTTGGGGCTTCAGAGGAACCGAAATTTTGAGCAATTATAAATATTATTTTTTTTATGCAAGCAACTTATTCCTCTATTATTCAGACAAATTTTCTACGTACATTGAAGAATAGGAGGTTCTTGGTGACCAAGGCTCCTTATTCCTCCCTCTTTTTATTCGACCACATTTTCGATTAAGTTATGATTCCACTTCCTATTGTTAGTGATGGTTGTAGTGCCAGGAGCAAGATGGACATAAGATACCCATTTCCCATTGTTTAGTTATAAGTAATGGTGGATGTGCAAGAAGCAAGATGGACAAGGATAACACTTCCTATTTAGTGACATATATTGTAGATCAAACTTTCGATTTGTATGGTTATAGATAGTGATGGGTGTAGTGCAAGGGGCAGGGATGAGATCAGGGCCCGTGAGAGGGTGGTTGGGGGCAGCGGGGACACTTGTCCAGGGGCCCCGGACCCTAGAGTGGCTCGGAGGTGTGCAGGGTAATGTTTTTATACGCCAACATTTGGTTGTGGACAGTCGACAGGTCTCGATTTTTATACGCCCACATTTTAATGTGGACGTATATTGTCGCCCCTGTCCGTCCGTCCGTCCACAATTGTTTGTGAACAGTCTACAGGTCACAATTTTTATCCGATTTCAATGAAACTTGAAATATAGGTTTATCACCCTAAGATCTCGATTCCTTTCGATATTGGCATCTATCGGACCGTAACTTCATGGATTATGGTCCCTGATTGCACGAAAAATCACGTTTTTGGCTTGTGAACACTGTAGAGGTCACAATTTTTATCTGATTTCAATGAAACTTGAAATATAGGTTTATCACCCTAAGATCTCGGTTCCTTTCGATATTGGCATCTATCGGACCGTAACTTCATGGATTATGGCCCCTGATTGCACGAAAAATCTCGTTTTTGGCTTGTGAACACTGTAGAGGTCACAATTTTTATCCGATTTTGTTGAAACTTGAAATGTAAGTTTATAACCCAAAGATCTCGGTTCCTTTCGATATTCGCCCTGATTGTACGTAAAAACGCTTTTTTTGGCTTGTGGACCCTATAGAGGTCATAATTTTTTATCCGATTTAAAAAAAAACGTATTATTATATCACCATTAAACCCTAATGACGGTTGAGTTCGAATTTCGTGAAAATCGGCCCAAAACTGACAGACAAAATGGCCGCCGTTCGTTCTCAAATAGCGTAAAAATATGGTATATCAAGGTTGTGGACCCTATAGAGGTCACAATTTTTATCCGATTTTGTTGAAACTTGAAATGTAAGTTTATAACCCAAAGATCTCGGTTCCTTTCGATATTCGCGCATATCGGACCGTAACTTCCTGAATTATAGCCCCTGATTGTACGAAAAATCACGTTTTTAGCTTGTGGACCCTATAGAGGTCATAATTTTTATCCGATTTAAAAAAAAACGTATTATTATATCACAGTTACACCCTACGGACGACCGAGTTCGAATTTCGTGAAAATTGGCCCAAAACTGACTGACAAAATGGCCGCCGTTCGTTCTCAAATAGCGTAAGAATATGGTATATCAAGGTTGTGGACCCTATAGAGGTCACAATTTTTATCCGATTTTGTTGAAACTTGAAATGTAAGTTTATAACCCAAAGATTTCGGTTCCTTTCGATATTCGCGCATATCGGACCATAACTTCCTGAATTATGGCCCCTGATTGTACGAAAAATCGCGTTTTTAGCTTGTGGACCCTATAGAAGTCATAATTTTTATCCGATTTAAAAAACAAAATCCGTATTGTTATATCACCGTTACTCCCTAAGGACGACTGAGTTCGAATTTCGTGAAAATCGGCCCAAAATTTACAGACAAAATGGCCGCCGTTCGTTCTCAAATAGCGTAAAAATATGGTATATCAAGGTTGTGGACCCTATAGAGGTCACAATTTTTATCCGATTTTGTTGAAACTTGAAATGTAAGTTTATAACCCAAAGATCTCGGTTCCCTTCGATATTCGTGCATATCGTATCGTAACTTCCTGAGTTATGGCCCCTGATTGTACGAAAAATCACGTTCTTAGCTTGTGGACACTGTAGAGGTCATAATTTTTATCCGATTTAAAAAAAAAACGTATTATTATATCACCGTTTCACCCTAAGGACAGCTGAGGTCGAATTTCGTGACAATCGGCTCAAAATTGCTAGACAAAATGGCCGCCGTTCGTTCTAAAATAACGTAAAAATATGGTATGTCAAGGTTGTGGACCCTATAGAGGTCACAATTTTTATCCGATTTTGTTGAAACTTGAAATGTAAGTTTATAACCCAAAGATCTCGGTTCATTTCGATATTCGCGCATATCGGACCGTAACTTCCTTAATTATACGATTGTACGAAAAATCGCGTTTTTAGCTTGTGAACGTGGACCCTATAGAGGTCATAATTTGTATCCGATTTATAAAAAATATAATTATATCACCGTTACACCCTAAGGACGGCTGAGTTTGAATTTCGTGAAAATCGGCCCAAAATTGACAAACAAAATGGCCGCCGTTCGTTCTCAAATAGCATAAAAATATGGTATATCAAGGTTGTGGACCCTATAGAGGTCACAATTTTTATCCGATTTTGTTGAAACTTGAAATGTAAGTTTATAACCCTACGATCTTGGTCCCTCTCGATATTCGTGCATATCGGACCGTAACTTCATGAATTATGGCCCCTGATTATACGAAAAATCTCGTTTTTAGCTTGTGAACCCTATAGAGGTCATAATTTTTATCCGATTAAAAAAAACGTATTATTATATCACTGTTACACTCTAAGGACGGCTGAGTTCAAATTTCAGGAAAATCGACCCAAAACTGACAGACAAAATGGCCACCGTTCGTTCTAAAATAGCGTAAAAATATGGTATATCAAGGTTTTGGACCCTGTAGAGGTCACAATTTTAATCTGATTTTGTTGAAACTTGAAATGTAAGTTTATAACCCAAAGATCTTGGTTCCTTTCGATATTTGCGCATATCGAATTGTAATTTCCTGAATTTTGGCCCTTGGTTGTAGGGAAAATCACTTTCTTTTAAGCTTGTTCTCTATCCATCTCTCGAAAATGTGGGCGTATCCTGCCTGGCAGCCGCTGGTTAGTTTGTGAACCCTCTAGAAGTCACAATTTTTATCCAATCTTAAAAACCGTTTAAATATTTCACAGTTACACCCTAACTGCCCGACAAAATGACCGCTCCTCGTCGCAAATAGTGTAAAAGTATGCAATACCAAGGTCATATGATACCACATATGATTTACATACTGTTTACAATCAGTGTATGTATAATACAAACTATATGGCTACAAATGGGAACCGCGGTTGCTAAGTGCGTAAGACGTTGGTTCGCTAGTCTGGAGGTCGCGGGTTCGCTCCCGGTGTTGCCCGAGAAAGTTCATCGGGATTTTCCGGCGTGATTTCCCCTTGTCAGTGATGCAGGTTGGAGGACCTGACAAGGGCAGCTGTCTAGTCGTTCGAAACGAACGAAATACCGAGGTCTCGTGTACACATTGGCGTGCACGTAAAAGATCCCGTGGCAGTTGGAATTCGATATAAGAGTAGGCCGTAGCGCCGCCGCCCGGGCAAAATGTCCCTCATAGTACACTGCATGGCGTATATATGCCCGTCTTCATAGAGGCCAATGAATAACATGGGATTACTAGTCTTATACCTTATAGAAGAGTTACCACTCGACCCCATATTACAAGAGCTAATTCATGGGAGGACGAGCCATATGATGCTGTCATAGATAAAATTACTTTTATAAGATGTATTCGCAATTCTGAACACATTTATTCCTTTGGAATAACAATGTTAAGTGTTTGCTTTCATAGATATGGTTCGTTTTAATAACTATGGTGTTTGATAATACGTATTAATAAGAATATGAAGCGTAATCTTTCATAGATTTTATTGGTTCTGAAAAGAACCGTTTATATAATTTTCAGTCGGTGCCATCTGAATTCATTCTGATGATGTTGGAATAATCTCATCATAATTGTCATTTAAACTTCTTATCTTGTTCCTCAGAGATAAAATGTCTTCTGCTTTCTGCCGAGCGTATTCATAATAAGCATTTCTTACACCTTCAGCTCCTGACATTCTCAGGCGTATGTTGTAACGAAATGAACGTTGTCCGTCTCTTCTGGCTCTGTCGTATCTAATTTGAAGTTCTTTTAGTTTGTTATTTATTAAAATAACCTGCTCACAAGCTCGACGAAATCTATACTCGGTCTCAGACAAGGTGATGTGAAGTCTTGAAATAGATTCCATCTTTGATGTTCAATATTTTCAGCAGTGAAGATGTATTAAGATTAGAAGTAGAGTTGTCTAACTGATAAATCAGAATAACATATCAACTTCTATCATCGTTATTTATACCATCATGAAACCATTGACATTATTTTCTCTGTATGACAATCTGACACTAGTATTTATCTGTGTATGGCTGTCAGGTATTATCTGATGTGTTGTGATTATACTGATTATCTTATTGTATACTAATTAATCAATTAACGACATTTTAATTACTGTGATACATTTTGATTAATTAGTTGACCTTCGTGTGA